GCCAAACACACCATCGCCTCGATACCCCATCTGGTATGAGAGTGAACCAGATTTTTCAAACCCTTCCGGTATGGGACTTCTCAGCCTCGTCCGACTGAGGCAATGTCCACAGTAGGGTTCCCTATGTACCGGATCTGTCCATCCTTTTTCAGGGCACCCAGTAAACCTTTTTTACATAGATTCAAAGTATAAGTTGATTGCCAGTTACATACCAATAACTTATATTTACAGATCAATAGTAGGTCATGCAAATAAGCAATATGTATACCAGGAAATATAATTGAAACATTTATTGAAAAATGAACCAACAAATGGTGGATATGTAATGAGGTAAACTAAATAACCGAGAGAGCAATTAAGTCTATCAATTTAATTTACACAATATAATAGTAAACATTTTAAGCAATATAGGTAAAATAAATAGTAAAGTAGGGTAAATATGAACGGACTGATTCTGCCTCCATTAGTGACTTGTAATTATTTTTAGAGTTTTCTAATTTTCACAAAATATAGTATTATCGATTATTAAGCTTCAATTTACGTAATAGAAAATAGGGTGAGAGATTTTTACCCAGATCGGTGTTCGAAATACCGTACTATCTACTGCACCTCCTGGCGGTCTTTGGGTTTTCTAGATTTTTCTTATGAAAATTAAAACACCTGTCACATATCCAAAAATACTCCAAAAAATCAAAATAGGCGTTTTAAAACTTTTTGGGTAAATTTTAAAGCTCTGATCAATGCCGGCCCCACCGCCTACAGTGGCAGTTCACCTCGGTCTGGCAAGTTTCTGTCGGTTTAGGTTGATTTTGATCGATTTTACGTGTAATTGTAGCGCCCGAAAAAAGGGGCCGAAAAAAAAAAAAAAGCCACGTCGGCAGCCACGTCAGCAGGCTCGGTCAGCAGTCCCGGCCAACCGGGACATGCCACGTGGCAATACCACATCGTTCTGAAATGGGCCACGTTGGCGATCCACGTAGGCGCGATCGGACGGCCCAGATTTAATCGCACGGACGGCCCAGATTTAATCAAAAACGGACGGCCTAGATTAAATCAAAATGGACGGCTGAGATCAAAAGGGCAAAGGGTTATAAATAGAACCCCCACACCAGACCCCAAACCCTAGCCGCCTGCCGCTCGCCGGAGAAGACGAACCAGAAGCCGGCCGCCGCCACCCGCCGCCGCACCGGAGGGATTTTCGACCACCGATCGAGGTAAAATTCATACCCCCGACTCGTTTTTCCACGCTGATCCCCCCAGTGGCCAAATCAGAGCCAAAATCCCGGCCAAACGGCCGGAAAACACGGCCGAAAGCCAGCGGCGCCGCCGCGCCCCTTCTCGGTTTTTGCCTCCGATGAGGCCCTTCCCGGCCTCCGTTTAATGCAATTTTTATATCACCGTGATCACCATTCTTCTCTCTACAGGTTGATCAGAGCTGAATCACCAAAACACGAACTTCACCGGAGAGCCGCCGCACCCGAGAGCACCGCCGCCGGTAAGCTTCGGTTTTCCGTAAATTTTCGGCCCGCCGAGGGCCGTAGGGTTGTTTTATCACAGGAACCAATGCGAGTGTGGCCGAATTCGGCCGAAAACGGCCAACCCGAGGCAAACCGCCGCCGCTTGCGGCGGCGCCGTCGCCGGAGCACGGCGGAGCCGCCGTGCCAGAGTTGCGATTTGGGCCGAAAGGGGCCCTGGGCCTAATTTGGGTTTTTTTTGGAACACGTGCAGGTACCAGTAGTGCGTTTCAGTTCCCCGAGAAAAAATTCAGGGAAAATTAGGGACAGCCTGTAGGCGCACTGTGAAGCCGTGTTCGGACCCCGAAACGAGTAAGGACCCCTCACCCTATTTTCTTTCACGGTATTAAAGCTTAATAAATAATTAAACAGTATTTTGAGACTTTATAGATGTATTAATTCAGGTTGCCAATGGAGCCCGAGTATGATACAATGTTGGTCTGTTATTGTTTGATCTAATTTTCAGTATTAAATGCAGTATGAGGTTTGATGTTTTCATTTTATAGTTTCGTGTGCATATTTTACTGTTTTATTATTATTGGTTGAATGACTGAAATACCGATACTGTATGTTGTCTGTTTGGCATGAATTACTGTTTTGCTTATCTAAATGCGAATTGACGATGCTGATTGAGGGAAAGAAGAATGGAAGATTGTATAAATTGATAATTGTGTAATGGGGTCAGCCTGACTAGATATCCTGGGAGATGGTGGACGGACCGGGTCCGTAGGAGACCCTACCGGGATTGTGGTCTTTCATACCGGACGGGGTATGGAGATCTTATGTGTTTTGGTGCCCATACCGGACGGGGTATGGGGACGGCCCGTTTCACCCTCATACCGGATGGGGTATTGAGGTTTACAGTTTTGGCGCCCATACCGGACGGGGTATGGGGACGGCCCTGGAATCTGATTACAAGTATTAAGGGTAACGGGTAGGGGGACCCCTATGGATCCCCATGGATACTAGTAGGCTGGTGAATGAGGAAAAGTAATTGTGAAATGATTGAATTGCAAGGGCGTGATGAGTATTATGTTACACAGTTTATATGATTTCATGATGATGATAATATTATTGCTTTCTTATATTGTTTTATGAATTTCACCGAGGTAAGTGAATGGTAAAAGGTTTTATTACTGATAAATGAGTTTATTGTAAATTATGCTCCATTGGTCTTTTTGTGTTTTCTACCCACCTTTATCTCCGTGACGGTGAGATATCGTGATGTCCTTACTGGGCTAGTGTAACTCATTCCTTATTTAATCATTTCATATCAAGAAGACATCGTTCCCGAGCCCGTTCCGCAAGAAGACGACGAAGGGGACACCTAAAGACTCCAAAGTTATATTCATAGTTTACTTTCGAATTTCTCTTTTAGTTAGTTTGATCTTTTATATTTTGAGCACGTTTTTGGTTTTAGTGTAAGGGATGTTAATCGAATTTTGACTTCGCTTCCGCATTTGATATTTTTAATTTACATTCCATTTTAAATTTCCGGGGCCGTTACAGTAATCCTACGAGAAAACACATTAGGGAGCCTCTGACTGAGAAAGGCAAAAAATCGAAACCTACCAGCAAGGAGGTCTCTGAGTGCGGCAGCTCCACCGGTCCTCCTTCGCGGCTAGGGTTCCTCTTTGGTTAACCTGCACCAGAAAAGGACGGTGAACACAGTTGTCAAAAAATCACGTGAAACAAAAAACAGGAAGGGGATTATTGGAGAGGATTTTTTATTTTGGTCGCGGCAGCTCGGCTGAGTTTTGCCCACAATTTTCGGCTCACCCATCGACCTTTTGGCTCTGATTTGGGCATAGGGAGACTCGAGATTAAATTTCGAGTGGGAAGGGTAAAAAAATACCTATTTTGGTGTTGGTGATGGCTCCGGTGCGACGGCGACAGTGGTCGGCCTCCTTTTTCGATATCTGATTCTTTCCCCCGACTGTCCTTCTTCTTCTTCTCCGTTCACCCCTCTGTCGGTTAGGGTTTTGATTGTCTGTGAAGAGGAGTATTTATACTCCTCTTCATTCGATCCAAGCTGCTCGTTTGAGTTGACGTGGAGCGAGGATGAGTGTTCGATAATTTTTCGTTTAAGCTGCTTGTGTTGATGAATTTTGGTTGTTCATCGCGATTAACCCCATCCGTCCGATCGTGCTTGAAGAGAAAATGCATCTGGGTCGTCCGTGCAGCGGGATGTGATCTAGACCGTCAGATAGTTAGGCACGCAGATCGCCCGCGTGGCCTCCTGTATGGTGTCGATGTCAACGTATTGCCACATGGCATGCTCTGGTTCGCCGTGGGTGCTGACTGGACCATCCCTCGTGGTCAAACTTACTCTTTTTGTGATTTTACCCATTATTTTTAAATTTTCTTTCAAAAATACTATTCTTATTCTCAATTTTACAAATTTTTTTTAAAATTACTTTCAATTTCGTTCCTAATTTATTTTTTCTAAAAAATTTAATAAAATGTAAATTAAAATAAAATTTTTAATTATTTATATATATTTTTTAAATAAAAAAATTATTTCAGGCAAATTCTGCACTCGGATATTACAGATTACCTCTGTATTATAACCATTATATGAATTCACTCATTTGAATTGGAAAAAATGTAACAAAAAATTTCACTCTCTAAAATGACAAGATACATTTTGAATTATAATATCATTTAACAGTTAAAAGTATTGAAACAAAATGAATGCTATAAAATATAAATTGGTGTAATGAAAATGTAATAAGACACACAAATTAAACTTGTATAACCTTATATTAAGTGCACTACAATAGCATATAAACATAATCACAACCAATATATTCTGTTTAGCCTATTTCGTTCCTACTTTTACATTTCTACTTTATAAAAGATACTAAATTTAACAATAAAATCACTTAACTAATGTTGCATTTAGTTAAAACCTATTTTGTTTATATATAATTAGTAAATTCTAATTATTTGATGCATAATTAAATAAATTTCATTCTTATCCTTGATTTAAATAAAACCCATATATTTTTGTATTTCCAGATATAGAATTAACTTAAAATTGGATTGTTATTTTTATTCAAATTTTTATCATCTTTATATAATATAATATAATATAATTTAAAATTAGATGGGTGAATTGAGTACAAAATCACCATCAATAAAATGAAATCCAGAACAAAAACGAAATAGATTTGATTCCTCAAACATGCAAAATCTGAAAATTAAACATTCATGACTTGTGATTTCCTACCCTATTTGAAAAAAGAAAAAAAAAAAAAAACAATGTTGTGTATAGAAATATTTAAGAACCATCGAATTTTATTTTATATTCTTTCCCATGTGATTAATAATAAATTAATTTCTTATGAAAAAAGTTCAAAAAAATCAGTAAATTTTTGAATTTGGCTGTGGAATGTGGACCCGTGTGTGATAAAAGTTTCAATTACAGTTTGTTCTATATATATATATATATATATATATATATATATATATCTCCCCCATCAACCCCAGTGTACTCTCTCATTTCCTTTCTTCTCTCAATCATACATGGCAACCTCTGAGTCTGTCATGAGCTGCTCAGCTTCGGAGCTGTCTCCGCTCTTTGGAGCCAATCCGAACGCGACGGCTGCGGCGGCTTTTCTCTGTTCGCGGCTGTCAGCGGTGTCGGATAAGCTCTCGGAGACAACCTACGCGGTTGACAACACGTACCTTCTCTTCTCGGCCTACCTGGTGTTCGCCATGCAGCTCGGCTTTGCCATGCTTTGCGCCGGCTCCGTTCGCGCGAAGAACACCATGAACATCATGCTTACAAACGTGCTGGACGCCGCCGCCGGTGCGCTTTCCTATTATCTCTTTGGCTTCGCCTTTGCCTTCGGCTCCCCCTCCAATGGCTTCATCGGTCGTCACTTCTTCGGGTTGTCAACTCTCCCGTCTAGTTCCTTCGACTTCAGTTTCTTCCTCTACCAATGGGCATTTGCCATTGCAGCGGCTGGAATCACCAGTGGCTCGATAGCCGAGCGAACCCAGTTCGTGGCTTATCTAATCTACTCCTCCTTCTTGACTGGCTTCGTCTACCCCATCGTTTCCCATTGGTTCTGGTCCGGTGACGGCTGGGCCAGCCCCACCCGGCCCGAAAATCTCCTATTCGGGTCTGGAGTAATTGATTTCGCCGGCTCCGGCGTGGTTCACATGGTGGGTGGTATCGCAGGCTTGTGGGGCGCCTTCATTGAAGGACCAAGAATAGGCCGGTTCGACCGGTCTGGCCGGTCCGTCGCTCTTCGAGGTCACAGCGCCTCGTTGGTGGTGCTCGGTTCTTTCTTGTTATGGTTCGGATGGTACGGGTTTAACCCGGGTTCATTTCTAACCATCCTGAAAGGATACAGTACCACTCGTCCTTACTACGGTCAATGGAGTGCCATCGGAAGAACCGCCGTTACCACCACCTTGGCTGGGTGTACGGCGGCGTTGACCACCTTGTTCAGTAAACGATTACTAGTCGGTCACTGGAACGTCATAGACGTCTGTAACGGTTTATTGGGTGGTTTTGCGGCGATCACCTCCGGCTGCTCCGTCGTAGAACCCTGGGCCGCAATCATCTGCGGATTCGCAGCTGCATGGGTTTTAATCAGCTGCAACATGCTCGCACTGAAGCTAAAATACGACGACCCCCTGGAGGCGGCTCAACTCCACGGCGGCTGCGGCGCGTGGGGTTTACTCTTCACCGGATTATTCGCGACGAAAGAGTACGTGAGCGAAGTCTACCAGGGTCAACCCGGACGACCGTACGGTTTACTAATGGGCGGCGGTGGGAAGCTCCTAGCCGCTCAGATCGTACAGGTTGTGGTGATCGTAGGGTGGGTAAGTGCGACGATGGGCCCACTTTTCTATGGGCTCCACAAGATGGGACTGTTGAGAATCTCGAGTGATGATGAGATGGCGGGGATGGATTTAACGAGACACGGTGGATTTGCGTACTTATATCACGATGAAGATGATCCATCGGGGAAGACTTGGGCAATGATGATGAGGAAGATTGAGCCTACCAGTGGAACTCCTACACCGGATCGTGACCCTCAACCAAGACCTACTGTGTGATGGTCAAATTTTAATTTAATTTTCTTTTTTCTTGTGGCGATGTAAAAAAATGGATAATTGAGGATGTACAAATTTTGTGAAGGGTGAAACTCTGTTCAATATTTTCTAATCATAAGGTATAAAAAGCATGGATTGTTGAGATAATATATTGTTATATTTAGAGCTTTTGTTAGATATAAATATATTATAGACGTAATGAAATTAATTTATAATGTAATAGGTCTAAATATTAAATTGATTCCTTAATAATATAATTATTTTATAATATAATATTAGAAATAATTTTATTTTTTCAAATTTTAATTATTTAATATAAACATATAGTTGTTGCATATATAGTTAAACGTGTAATTCATATCTTCAATTCTAAAAAGAGAAATTTGTATTTTACATGCCAAAATTTTTGAAAAAATATTTGAAATTTAAATGGAGTTATTATTAGCATGGAACTAGAATGCTATTTTCATCTTACCCATTATTTTGATTTATAATTAAAATTTGAAGATTTCAGTTAATTAAATTGAGTCTTAGTGGGAACTAAAGAAAATTACATTATGAATGTAATTAACCAACCCTTAATTAATTATGTGAACATAGTTGGAATTTATTTAATTATATGATGGAAAAATTAAATTAAGGGATGAACTTAGTTGGGTTTAAAGGGCTTCAATCAAGTTGGGGTTTAATTAGATGGATAATTAGTAACTTGATTAATCTATATTTGGTTTAAAACAAAAATTATGATTAGGGATCCATCTAGGGCTTCATTTTAACTTTCAAAAGATTTAAATATAATTTTATAAAGAGAGATCTCTAGTCTTCCGATGGTTTAATTAATATCTAAAATCTTTATAATTTATGCCGTGAATTTTAAAATATTATTAATGTAATTATTTAATATTTAGTATAAATAATTTTACAATAATACACATGTTGGACCATTATATATATATATATATATATTGATATTATTAAAGAAAACCCATCAATTTGTAGCATTATTTGAGGGAATTTTAATTGAAAACAGAGTTGATGCTTGGATAATTCTCTTGATCATATATGTTATGGGGACTATATTTTCCCATTCCAGCAAATATATATATACTAATTTGAGTAGGAGACAAAGACATATATAGAGATGCCTAGCTCTTCTTATCCATTGAATTGTAATTTAGAAGATCATATGAAAAATAATGTCTGTGATATTAAGATGAAAATCAATTTGTGGGCTGAGTAGAAATTATGTGCAGTGAGAAAAAGAAATATCAATCGGTCACCTTGAATCACACATTTTCCAATCTTTATAGGTGGAATACATTCCATCTTCACCAACGTATAATCCTCTCCTACCATCAATACAAATTGGAGAATCAGTGCATATATATTCTGAATTCAACTTGTATACTTATTGGCAATCAATGGAGAAATCAGAAATGAGTATATAATATATACATATACATATATATATATCAATAAAAACACTAGTCCATGTATATATATATATTGATTTCGAAGGTCCATGTATATATGTATATATCAGAGAATATTTGACCTACTTTTTTTCTTTTTTCTTTTCCCTTTCTATCAATAATTCATCTATTCTGAGTTCTTGGATGATCACAGAAATTAAGCTCGACGACTCACTTTTTCTCTATGTATATTATATATATATTATATCATTGAACTTATAGGCTTTTCATGAATTAACTCCCACCATGAACTCAAATGCTACCAGCTAATTTTGATGCAATATTTCAATCTTAACATTTTATTTGTGTATATATATATGTATATATTATTAAATAAATGTATTCAACTTGATGAAATAATGTTACATGTTGCGCAATTTCACCGGTTCTCGTTGAAAAATAATTTAAATAATATATATAATTAAAAACCTAATTTTTGATGATTCTATAAGAAATCTAATTATATAAATGTTGATTAGAAGTTAATTTAGGTGATAAAAAAGTTTTTTTTACATTATAATATGATAATATGTGAAGAGAAACAAATAACAAATATAATTATAGAGACATAAAAAGACTCTTGATAGTGTGTAACAGAAGCATTAATAACATTGTAACTATTGGAATATACGGCTTAACTTTGTAATTCTTAGGAGATGAATTAAACAATTTTGTAATGGGCGAAAAATAAATTACCCGCCATTAAGAAATGAATTACCTAATCTTCGTGAGTTCTTATGATCTTACCAATTATTTCTGATCTAAATGATACGTATTTTTAACTTTTTTATTTTATGAGGACGTAAAGTTGAATTTTAGATTATGGGTTTCATGTATCTTGATCGATTTATTGTATCTATATTTTTTTTATTAAGATATTTTGTTATCATCGTCGTACAATTCTCACCTAATAATAAAACATATGAACTTCTATTAAAAAAAATTCAATAATATTTTGATTGTCTAGATAACATATCAAGAACTTAAGATTCTTTCGATATTTGGTTGCTTCATGTACTTGTATATGGGTGTTATTAGATAATCGTGTTTTTTATTGTGATAATTTTCTGATTCTTCTTTAGGTGCGGACCGGAGATTTGTGACGAGTAGTTGCTCCTCAATGGAGTAGGGAAAAAAAATGTTTCAAATTTAAGAGAAGAAAGTAGTGAAAGGGAGGAATTAGAAAGAGGTAAGGAGGATTTTGAAAAGGATGAGAGTACTCTAGGAGGGAGAAGTTAATTGCTCTACAATGGAGAGAGATTTCCAAAATTAATTTCAGTATAATAACACATATTGCATATAGTTTTTGAATAACACTTGGTGTATAATACTTAGAGGTGCTATGAGTTGCCTTGTGATCCTATGAGGGTGTATAAGCATAAAACAAATGTTGAATTCTAATTTCTATACACATATATACTGTATATATGTGTGCTTTTAATATTTAATAATGTCCGTAATATATGTAACTGCCATTTGTAATCGTAAGCTCGTCATTTAACACTCATATATATATATATATATAATCAAATTTTACATGTGTGAATATATCATACTTTGATAAACAATTATCTTTAAACATAAACTAATTGACAAAACCCAAATCAGTGTGATTACATGAGTCGCTAACACATTCGCCACATGTTTATACTAAAACATATATATAAATATATATATATATAGTCATGACATATTATATTGCTATGATAATCTCACCCCATTACTTTCATGTTTGAATTGGATGTAAGTGAAGGGTTCAGAACTCCTGGGGTCCATTACGCTGCATATGGATGAAATCTTACGCACTGTACCCATCAATTATATAGGTATTAAGATATACGTGTGTGTATATGTGAATATAATAGAGGAAGCTAGCAAAACTACAAAAGATCTCGCAGTCTTATTTGACTCACAGCCCATGCCATGGCTACCACAAAAATAACAGACTAGCTTTCTTGGTCGTCATTTTGTTTGCAGTCAACAAATACATTCCTATATGTATGTATATACGTATTTATAGTTGATAATGATAATACATTATATAAGAGACAAGCATGAATAAGTGTGATGTTTGTGGGTAATAAATGGAAAGTTGGCAGCTTCAGTTCCTGGATGATGGGGTGTATAAGGTTGCAATTAGAGATTCCATGGAAACCTTCTTTGTCCAAATAGCACCCTTTTTGTTGTTATATATGTATGTGTGTGTGTGTGTGTATACATACATGCAGGGAGATCGTGTTTCTCCGGTGATCACACGCACATACTTGCTGGCTTTTTTTGTTTGGTGAATTACTGACCTACAGCTATACCCATATAATTTTTCTGACCTGTGTGCAACTTGGTCATGTATACTTGTATGTATGTATATATACACACGTGGGTATATATATGTGTGTGTGTGTCAATTTTGAACTATATCATTCACAACAGTTCATAACTACAGGGTGCTCTAATTTGTCCCCATGGACCGACTACATTATGAGGTTCCAATTTACCTAAGTCCTTCAATCACTAAAAAAAATAAAATTCAAATTAATACATATTATATTTACATATATATACACACAAACTGACAGTACCATTTATATAGGCCGATAATTTGCTCGTTGCTATAGACCCATTAAACCTCTATGTACAGAGCCCATTAGAATTTTTGGATTTTCAGCAAAACTGTCTTAAGATTTTCAAAATATTTTGTCAATTTTCAGTATTTATTTACTAAAATATTTTCAGATTCATAAAAACAAAGTTCAAAATTAACTACATTCTATAATATTTATTTGCATAAAAGAGAGTAACAAAAGAAGTATTTTTTCCACCGGCTATATAACTAATTGAATCATTCAAGTGGAAGCAACAATTTATATATATATATATATATGATTGTTTGAATAACATTTGCAGAGCTTTTATCTCCAAGAAAATGTGGCAGGAGAAAATCTTTCTCCATCTGTAATCTGTAATCTGTACAAGCAAAACTCATTACCTCCTCAATACTCTGAAATTGTCTTCTAAAAAGAAATAAATTGGCACTTTCCACGAATTTCTTACAATCGCAACACGCAAAATCAAAACAACAACTTAGTCCAGGAGCCTAAGAGCGGAAAAACTGCAATTAGCAACCTTAGTAGCAGAGGTCTGTCTCTGACTCTCCCAATCTGACTAAATTTATACTTCTTTTGTTGCTTCTGAGACTTATTTGCCTTCTTACTAGGTGGCATTTTTTCCTTTTTCGGATTTCGGGTCTCAGTTTGTTTGTCTAGCTCATCCCATCCACCATATCTAGGGATGTTGTGACGATCCTTGTTATATGAACCAGCGTCTGAAGACACCCAGGACTTGTAGTCATTTCTTCTCTCGCCAGGCATATTTTCTTCTTCCTTTTTCCCACTTGTCTTCATGTTTCTTGCAGCTGCTGCTCTTGCAAATGGCCTCTTCCTACTCCTCGTCTTTGCACTAGATTTTGTGGTGTTTTGGCCCCAGACCTTATCGATTGCAAAAGAAAGTACGGATTGCCCTAGTGGAACAACTAATGCCATTAAGAAAGCATTTGAACTTGTTCCAAGCAGTAATGAAATGGCAACAGCAGGAAGCATCCAGCCAAAAGCTCTAAATACCTGCAGTTGAAGGCATAACACCATGGTGAATAAGCTAAAACTGGTCACAGTTTGGCTAACCTAACCAATCAACCAAAAGTTACCTTTTCGTGTAAGAGTACCGATAAGATGTCTGAAATAACTTAGTTCTAATTTCAGAGGATTTATGATGTTACACCAATGTTGTGGCTAGTGTAGCTATTATCCAGGTTCAACACGCATAATGTTGTCTGGAGATCATTATTTAAGATAATTGGACATGAATATCTTTATGCCAAAAGTTCATTTTATACCAGCAATCCTCATGGTTATTTACACTTCCAATATATATTTCGACAATATCCACCACTCTTGCATTCGTCCACGACCTAAAGCTAAAGAAATCCTTACACCATAGAAGCCTTAAAGACCCTATCATCCCTCTTCTATGTGAGACTCAATTTCCCAAGGTGTAGGGGACATAAGTTCCAGTTTAGTAAAGAGATAACAGGTACACATGCTTTCATGCTCATATTTTTTGTTGAAAACAACTTCAGCAGCTCCTGAAACACCAAAGATATTCTTTTGGTTAAAAGTCCTGAAAAGTCTCTCTTTCCTATCCCCTCGTATTTATTATTTCAGCTGATCCCGTGGCCTCATTTTATAATTTTGATATTGTGATAAATAAGTACCTGTTTGTGGATATAATGGAGATTTTATTACATGTCTGAAGCCTTCCATCATTTTTGAATATCTCCTAATCGTTCATGAACCATTTCAGACAATTGCTAATGAACATGCAATCCTACATGACTTTCTGGTAGTTTCAGTTTTTGTTATTTTTAGCCCAGACTGATGGTATAGATTTCACATTTTGACCTCATAGCATATAACAAGGTGCTTAATGTGCAGTATACTGAAGCTCCTGTTCAATCCTTATCAGTTCATACATGAGCAGCAAATTCTTCCTGCTTTCTGAAATTAGGCAAACACCAAAGCAAGTAGAGAACCTAATCAACGACCTAATTTTCTTTTTATTTAATAAATAGCATAGCTAGCAAGAAAACTGTACAAAGAATTGCTGACTAATGAAAAGAATCATCAAGAGCAATAACAACACATTTACCCAGAATGAAAGAAAAATGCTAATATATTGTCACTCAATTTTCAAAAATAAATATATGTACAGTGTCATTCTAAATAAATCAGAACCTTTATAAACTCTCCTATATAATCTAATTCAGAAGATTTTTCTTTTTTAAATTTGAGCCTCCGTGTTGTCGAGCATTAAACTTTATTCTCTACCACATTAAAAATTATTCACAGTTCTCAATCTAATGGGAGCAGCAAACAAAAAGATATGACATAAATGCAACAAGAACAAATATTTAAATATGAGACTATGTACATTGCAAGGAATCCTCAACTGAACTTAGCATTAAAAGGTGACAAGAACTCTACCCAGCCTTTACAGCATTCGGTCCTTAAAAGCAATACTTTACTTCTCTCTCGTAGGTGATTTTTTTTAAATAACTCTCTCCTAGGTGAAATAACGAAACCAATACTCCCCAAGAAGTCAAAAATACGAACTAAAATCCAATCTCAACCTTAATTCATTGGAGCTAAAGCATAGCTCAATTTGGATTAGCTTCAGCTATAGTACATCGCAGAGAAAAATAGAACAGGCCCTAGAAATGAAAAGACTAGAAAATCACATACAAATCACTGAGGCAACCAGTTGACAACAGAATTATAATGCTCTCTGTCCCATTGAAAACAGATTTGTGGCCTAAGGGCCTCAATTATATTACTAACTAATACTTTTGTGGTAGAAATCATATGGCCTTGTGTTACAAATGGTATCGAACCAATCCCATACCCAACATAATCTGACCGCAGGTGTATTATTTAGATCAAATGGGATTTAACATGGTTTGACTTGCAAGGCCCCAGTGGTTAGACTGATATTGATTTGGGAATTTCGGAGAGGTAATCCATTTATAGGAGCGTTTGTAAAGTGCCATATCCTATATTTGGTACCTTATGAGGCAAGAGAAAATACTTTTAAGTGGCAGGCAAGTTATGGTAAGCAGCTGTTTAACAAATAAATATGAACACTTCATTAATAGCCTCATACATTACACTAAATTATTTCCAAACTTTCTCCCCAACCAAACGAAGTAAGGCTGTTATTAAAAGTTTTGAGTTTTTGTTTTACATTAAATTATTTCCAAACTTTCTCCCCAACCAAATTAAGCCAGCCTTCTATTAAAATTTTTGAGTTTATCTGTTTCATCTTCATTGATTCCGGCCTGATAACAACATAATCCTTCTTTTTTTTTCTCCAAAAAATTCCCATAAAAAATTGTATTTTCAAGCTTAATTACGTTAAAGAGAGTAACAAGCGAAAAACCCGGCTCTTCAATAGAAATCCCTGCAGTGAAGTCACCCGAGGGGAATTATATTCACCCTTCTTTCAGCTCAGCTCTTGTGATTGTGAAATGGTCTCTGTGGTTCGCTTGCCCTTGTGACTATGCTTTCTGTGGTGAACTTTTGCCGACTCTTCACTCTGTTCATGCTTAGCTGGAAGGTTAAGGTAAGGACGTTGAATTTGCTTTTGTAGTCTCGGATTATAAAGAAGAGCTAGTCAAGGCTTTTCTCTTAGGTTTCGGAGTGATCTATCTCTCTAACTAGAAAAAGAATAAGAGAAGGAAGATTCAGTAAAGTTTACTTACCTTGCTCTGTAGCCGGGCTACAGATACATAGATTCGGGGGAAGGATAATAGGAATACCCCGATTGATAATAACTTCAGGAATCAATCCCAATTTGAGAAAGCAGAGTTAAAATTTTTTAAAAACAAAAAAAAAAAAAAAACACACTCACTTTTCCCCAAGATTCCAGGTATCCAAACATAGCTCAATTACTAAAAAACTATAGAGAAACAATTCAACGATCAACTATACCATAAAAATCCAAGGCTCCTCATCGTCTTCAACCTCCCAGTCATCGTAGTCATTGTCATCAGACCACCAGGCCCTCTGCTTCGCGCCGCTGCTGAACCCAAAATCATCATGGAGATCATCACCTTCGACGTCCAAATCGTCCTTGAAACTGTATCTGATCCTTCCACCGTCATGGTGAGAGCCACCCGCAGCGCGGGACCCGTAGGTTCTGCAAAATACTGTATTGCTGAGAAATGGGAGGAATTGGATCTTACTATTGCTGGAATTAGGGCTCAATAAACATGGAAATGAAGAAATTGAGAGCCCAAGCAGAGGAAGGGCTCCCATTACGCTTCATTTGATAGTGTGGTGAAAGGAAGTGAGCTGCAGAGATAGGCCTTCGCCAGTTAAGGATAACAAGGGAAGAAAATGATGAAGTAACCGGGTTCCGGTTTAACCCGAACCGGTTTGATTTTCTTAAGAACAGAAAAAAATAAGAAGAATCCTCGAAATCATTGAGTGATCATGCAACTCATGAACAAGTAGTAAATTAGAATATAAATTTAAACTTGTAATGATAATAAGATGCCGTTTGGGAAGCTTAGAGAATTCCTAAATTCTTGAAATAAACATTATGTTTTTTAAGTATAATATTAAAGAATTCCTTAACACGAAAAACTCGTTTAAGTATATTGAAAACCGAAATAAACAGTTTCGAAAAATCATATTAGGAAAAACTATAAGATTTTAAAAAGATATCTAAGTTAAAATTGACATATTAGTTCTTAAATCCTATCAAACTACTAAAATAATTATCTACCGATGTCAATTCGAATAAAAAATTATTAAATAATAAGATTATATTATTTAATTTTTATTATAGAAATTTTTTTTAATCAATTTAACTTATCTTTTTTCAAATAATAGGAATAACAAGCACAAAATTATTTATAAATTTTCATTTTTGTAACACTACATATTTTATGGTTATTGACTTCATTTTTATTTGTCAACGATAATAAACAGAAATAGAGACAACTCAAGATAAAAGATTAGTGTCGAAATTTAAATATTTTAAAATGAAAGCAAGTTTGCTATAAGTTAGAGTTGTATTATTATTGTTACTTTTTGACTACCATGTGGAGTGTTTTTTTTTTTTTATTGACTAGTTATAAGAATAAATTGAAGATATTATTGTTTTAAATTTTTAATAAATAAATTCTCTAACAAATAATTAAAATTAGTGGTAGCTTATTGTTACTGTAAATATTAAGTTTTACAGTAGAGCTTTTTTACTTACATAAGGAGAGTTCCTATAATTTTTGAGTTTTCTATGTTAAAAATTTTAATATTTTTGTGTGACTATTTTTTAGTGTTTTAGTGCAGATTTTATTATATTTATTTTAATTTATTCTCACTCCTCATAAATTTATTGAATTAATTCCCTATGTACAAAAAAGAATAAATGAATGTGGTTAGTACAATTGGGTTCAAAAACTTCAACAGTCAGGTACCCGAGACAAAAACGGGTGAACCAGCAGCTGCGATGCCGTCCATCTTTTCGCTGAATCTTTTTGCAAACAACAGTCTATGAAGCTTCGAAACTCGGCGGAACAATCCTCTGGAACGCTGGGCCTCTCACCGAGACACATCGCACACATCAACGTCACCCAGTCCGGTGTCTGACCCGGTTCCAAGAACGGAAAACGACCCATGTAGAGCTCCAGCAAAGTCACCCCAAAACTCCAGATATCTCCCGCATAAAGATTGTCATCTTGACCGTAAGTCGGATTCGCCGCACGTTGTTCGCTGCCACGCAATCTACGAGAAGCCTTCCGGTGAAGTCGAAATACTTATGGAGTACATGGACGCTGGCTCTCTCCACACCCTTCTGCAGGAACGGAGTTCTTTCTCCGAAAAGCAGCTGGTTCCCGTCGCTCGACAGGTTCTTGAGGGTTTGAAGTACTTGCATGGCCAGAAGATTGTGCACAGAGACATCAAGCCCGCCAACCTGCTCGTATATTCAAATATGGAAGGCTCGAAG